AGAGAGAGAGAGAGAGAGAGAGAGAGAGAGAGAGAGAGAGAGAGAGAGAGAGAGAGAGAGAGAGAGAGAGGACGAAGATAAGAAAATGGAGTGGGGAGGTTTTCAGAAGCGAGGAGAGATCTCGATGAGCATGCGCAGCTTCGGCGCTGACTCCATCGCTGATGCGCGTAGGAAGAAGAGGTCGGTGACCCCGCTGCCGTACATTAGCAGTAGCAACACTCCCTTCCAACGTCTCTTTTAACGACCGTCGTAAACGATATATCTACGGAGGAAAAGAGCGTACGTCTGGTTTGACTAAGCCTGTGGAGTGGGAGATGATTTTACGGTAGCTGATGTGACGTGGCTGTCTGTCGTGATGATGATGATGATGATGATGATGATGATGGATGATGGATGATGATGATGGATGATGATGATGATGACATGGTGACATGATGAGTGATGACAAGCTTGGCGCGCCGGCATGAGGACTTCGATTGAGATTCTTCGAGGTCGTTAATGCATGGTCGATGCCCACGATAATGTTTTTTTGTCGATTTTGTAAGATTTCTCTCCGCAGTCTTTCCTAAAAGATTATTACTCCTTTGGGAAGTTGCCTTTGACGTTCCTGGCCACGACTTCAAAAACGTTTTTCCAACTGAAATCATCAGGTCCTACCGGCGGGAAAACGGTAAGCCAGACGATATCGGTTCAAAACACATCGAAATTACGGCCAGGAACATTTAAAGGTAAGTGCCCTGACGTTCCTGGCCGCAATTTCAGCGTTTTTTTAACCGAAATCATCAGGTCCTACTGGCGGGAACAGGGTATGAGTCAGACGATTTCGTTTTTTTTTTTTTTTTTTTTTTTTAATAACATTCACCAAATTCAATATATTACTCAAATCAGCATTCAGAAGGTGGGGTCCTCTACAATACTTCCCGGTCCAGAATTGATATCTGGAAGCATCATCCAGCTTAGCTTACAGGCTGAAAGCCTGCAGGTCTTTTCTACAGACCCAGCAGCTCTTACTTAGGCTGAATACCACCTATCTTCTCTTAAGTCCTACAGGGGAAAGGATTCTTTTTCCAGCGCTACCAAAATCCTACAGGGAGACTACTGATAGACAATGTAAGAAGAGGGTCTAGGATACCAACACTGAAAAGTCCGAGACAAACTGCACTACCACTATTGTGAACACCGTTGTAGACGATTTCGGTTCAACACACGTCGGCATCACGGCCAGGAACATTAAAGTTAAATGCCCAAAGGGGTATTATTACTGTTACATATTACTATATTTTTCACTACCGAAGCTCACCGCGTTTGATATCCGTCAGGGGTTTCGCTCTTTTCTCCTTTGGACTTTTCTCCTTTGGCGACTAAAAGCCTAAGTCACTCATGCTTCTGTATCCTGGAGCCGGCCTGCAGGCAGGCGGGCAGGCGAGAAGAAAGAAGAAATGGAAGGAATGGCCATGGACTATAGCACCTGTCGAGCACGAGAAGAACTGACAAATCAATGTGCAAGCTGTCCTCGGCGCTCTCTGAACGCGGGACGCGCACATTCCTCGACGGGGGTTTCGGCCGGCAGCGCTCCGGGGGAAAGGTCCCACTTGCACGGATTAAGAGATTCTGGCCGTTGATCTTTGCTATCTACGGTCAATATCGCTTAGTTCGTGTAAGTGGGACCTAGCCCCGGTCCGGTCGGGCCGTTGATCTTTGCTATCTACGGTGGTCAATATCGCTTAGTTCGTGTAAGTGGGACCTAGCCCCGGTCCGGTCATCCTCAGGACTCAAATCCTCTCCCAAGCCTCTCGGGTACCACCAGACATCCCACCAGACGGGCAGGCAAGAAGGCGGGCAGTACCAGACACTAGAAGGCGGGCATTGCCAGACACTATACTGCGATGGGGTCCGTTACTCACGACTGGAATAACGGGAGGTGAGGAAAGTTTCAGAAGATCAAAGCAAAAAAGGCTCGAGCAAGGGCATTGAGAAAAAAAAGCAAACGGAGGACCTAGCTCTCGCTTATTTCTCAGCAGCTCTTTCTCTTCCGTCTCTCTGTCTGTCACCAGCTCTTTCTCTTCTGTCTCTCTGTCTCTCTTCTCTCACAGACACGCACAAAAATACACACGGCCTTCCATCCATTTCCTCTGCCCCCCACACCTTGTTTTTCTCCCCGTCCTGTCTCAAACATGTCTCGAACGCACAGACGTCTCTTCCTACCTCTCTCTCTCTCTCACACACACACACACACAGACGACTCTTCACCCCTTACTCTCTCTCTCTCTCTCCCATACACATACACATGGCCTTCCATCCCTTGTCCTCTCCCTCTTCCTCCTCTTTTCTCCCCTTTCTCTGTCACTCACACAGACGGGTCTCCGTCTCTCTCTCTCTCACACACACACACACACACACACACACACACACACACACACACACACACACACACACACGTGTACGCACCGGGCCTTCCACCCTTTGCCGTCTCGCCCACCCCCCTTACTCTCTCTCCTTCCTTTCCCCCAGACACAGAAGTTTCTCCGTCCCTCTCTCTCTCTCTCTCTCTCTCTCTCTCTTTTCGTCTGTGAGTGCATGAGCGAGATCTCTCCCTCTCTCTCTCTCTCTGTGCCAATTGTATGCACCGCCGAATCAATGCCCCTCTTGAATGGGCTCGTTACTTGGATCGTATGAACGCCGCGTGGAACCCGTCACAGGTGTCCGTGAAAAAGTGATTATCCACAATAGATCAAAATAAACGAACAAGAAACAATGGATTTTGACCCATAACAGAGGCCTTCGACCCCGGGGGAGGTTTAGACCAATTCTTAGGGCGTCGACCCATAGCAGAGGAGGGAGGGGGGTTGAGATCCATCAAACGACAGGCGAGTAGTTGAGAAGATGAGAGTCATCAATTGAACGGGATGACACCTAGCACTACTTTGTATGCATCATCGTGCGTCCTGCTTATAACTGTTTTGTCTTTTCTCTCTTGTCCCATCACAACTGATCGATCTGCCAATTGATTGATCATACACATGACCGATGGATGATTCAACTTGCAAACTTGCAAGGTCTTCTTCTCTTGTGATTGTTAGCCTGTCGTCAAAGCGCTGATTGATCCACAGTGACATGTCCAACGGCTAACAATCTCGGCTGTAAACTTTGAGACGGATCAAAAGCGCTGAATGATCGGCTGCTTGGCTACTTGTTCGGTCACTTGGATGATGAACTAATTGACTGGTTGATTGATTGGTTAGGTGATTGGTTGATTGATTGGTTGGTTGCTCGTTTGATTCATGCATTGATGGATAGGTTGGTCTGTTGGTTGATTAGTTGATTGATTGGCTGGTTGTTCGTTCGATTCAGTGATTGATGGATAGATTGATCTAATGATTGATTGGTTGATCGTTTTGATCGCAGATTGATGGATATATGATCTACTGATTGATAGTTTTCGAGTTGAATAACTGATTGATTGATGGATGGATTGATTGAATCAATCATTGATTCGCAGATTAGTTGATTCATTTGACTAATTCATGAGCTAGCTGATTAATTGATTATCTGATTAATTTGATGAACTGAAATGGATTGCTTCTGATTTACTGATTGATTGCTTTGCTTATTAGATTTTGATTGATCGATTGATTTGCTTGTTGACCGCTCTGAAAGCGCTGAATGATCGACTGTTTGAGCTAGCTGATTAATTGATTATCTGATTAATTGATGAACTGAAATGGATTGATAAGTCTCTTCTGATTTACTGATTGGTTGCTTTGCTTATTAGACTTTGATTGATCGATT